ACATTCTCAAATCAAGGATTTGTATGTAAAGTAAACTCTGTTCATCTTTCCACTTTATTTAGCCTCTGATGGAGTACACATTTCCATCATGCAAATCACCTCACTCCTGCAGTGATGTCTCCCACCTTTACCTAACAGAATTCAGTTCATCCTGTCCTATCTTGTCCACTGTTTTTTTTTTTCTTTTTAAATTGCACTTAAGAATTTTACATTTTTTCCAGAAGAGAATTCAACGATTTGTTGACAGCTCCTAACCCGTTGGGTAGGACATCTGCAAGATCATCAATCCTCACCTGAAATCTCCTGCTGTAAACTTTGCCTCAGCAAGTGAAAAGGCAGCTTCTCTCATCACCTCACCCATGAGCATCTTAGTCTGTTTTGTTTTTTTTTTTAAAAAAAAAAAAAGGCACATCATTACTCCTTTTCCAGGATACATAACTAACAGCATAAAGACAAGAATGAAAAAGAGACTGGAAAAGTCCTGTATGTGTAGCTTACTCTCAAACTACAAACTGTAATTCCCAGGAGACTGGTAAAAAAATAAATACTTTAGCTGTTTCACTGAGCCAGTGTAGAATTCACAGAAACAGCAAAAGACTTGTCTGTCTTAATAATCACAACAACACAGCAGCTCAGTACGAAAACATTCTTACGATGTATGTGGCTTTGTGAAGCTGCGCTCTCCTCCTACTCCATTTTATCCCAATTTTTACACATTTGAAGCCCTTGTAGCTAAAGCGCATGCTATTGAGAAGCAAGAGCCTCTGTGTATTACATAGTCAACAGGAAACAAGATGCAGAGTGCCAAAAGCTTGTCTACAGCATGGCAACAAAGCAATACTGCTAACCATGGATATAGTGGCCGTTGCAGCCAAAACAGTACAGCTAAAACCCATCTAGTATGGTAGAACAGAACATGCCATATTAGGCTCTACTGAGATCTTAGATTTGTCATTCATGTTGCAAAGGAAGAAGCAGGACTCGGTGTTTCTTCATAAAGGAACAAGTTCCATCTGGACAAAACTTCTGCTTTCTAGCATACCTAGTCATGCAGGGAACATTATAGATCTGCAGTACCCTCTCAAGCCAGATAAAGCAACAAAAATGGGGCTACAGAAAACATGTTAAATCCACTGAAGTATCTGGCAGCACCGGAGCAAATTCCCTGTAATTTAGAAGAGATGATGGGGAACTTGGGACACAAAAGAAAGCAGAGCCTAGGACTGGTTGGAAAGAGGTGAAGAATATTAGCTCTTACAAAATTTCTGCATTGCTGCAGCCAGAAAAACATAATTCTGCTCACCTGTCTTCGGTAGCCTCGCTTACAAAAAATGGGTTATGCACAAACTTGTCCTACATTCCAGCCCACCTAGTGGAGTCAGGAGGAAGGGAACGCACACCTGACAGAACAGGCAGGTTTCAAATAGAGTGAGCCAAATAGAGGGAAATTCTAATTTACCTACCTCAATAATTTTCTTAAGGATCTGCCTGAATCGAAGTGTCAAAGCGTCAGATTTTTTCTTCAAGAGGTTACGACCTGTCTGGGCTCCTTTCAAACGGGCCTTCATGATGGTCTGAGCCCTGTTAAACAGAGGAAGAAATTACTGTCCTGCATCATCTGAAGGGATTATGAAAAACTTAGGCAAAGTTTTCTGACATAGACACGACTGAAATTATGAAGCAACCAAGAAACATCAATGCAGTAACATAGGATGGCCACTTCAGGATGGAATTTTAGATTCCCATTTAAAATCAAGGAAATTTATTACATTTATCTCTGTCATCAATGAGAATTACAGGTTATTATCTGCAAAGTCAAAGATCACGGAAAATTTACATGTCATTTTTCAGTGCTTCCATAATAGGAAACAAGAGTTTTCATTTTTCTTGATGACCTGCAAGTACCAGAAATCAAACTACCCCAAAAGCCTCCTGTCAGTGTGACACTGGTATTGCTTTTAAGCTTTTTTACTATGTCATCTTCTCAAAATCAGACAAGACAGCAAATTCTTCATGTGATCGTAACTGTTGATGCTGTGTTCTGATCTTACAGAGCAACAAGATACAGCAGTTGTAAATTTCTGGTTTAAAAAAGTCAGAAAGTACAATGATTCCATATCTTCATCTGCTGCACAGCTTTACAAGCTAATTAAGACAATCAGAAGCATCAGTATAAATGGGCTGTTAGTGAGCTAGCTGTAGCACTGTATGTCCTTCACTTTCAGCAGCACACTTACAGGTTTCTTGTAGGGCATTAGGAACTGAAGAAGGATCCAAACCTTGCTTCCCTCTCCACTGTGGAGTATATTTTAATGTGAAGAATCTTTTTTTATTTAAGTTAACTAGAATAGCAGGAGCTATACTACAAAAACCCCAAGCTGTGCTAACTTAAGCCACCACTTCATATGTGCAGCCACTACACACAAAGGACAACAATCCAGTCAACTCTACGCAAAGAGAAGCCTTGTACGCTTCCTCTCTGACCTTGGAAAAAGGAAGTATATTTAAAATTTCAACTACACAGTGGAATCCATGACTTTCCACATCTACTGGCATGTGATGAGAATAGCTCTGTTAATATCTACCAAGGCACAAATACTTTCTGCATCTTTATGATAAAAAGAAAAAACCAAAGTCAAAGAGTAAACAGCAGCTTTACTTCCACAACAAGCACGACTCTGTCACCACCTTGAACTAACTTGTTCGCTCTGTTCACCACCTGCCAGAGACCAGCTGACCTTCTAGTTCAAGCAAGATCTCACAGGCTCTCAGAGTGCACTAAACAAAGTCTTGTTTACTGTCAAGGAGACGGAGCAGCTTCTGTAATTGATGACACCCAGCGCAGACGTGATACCAGCAAGCCACTTTGTAAAGATAAAAAAACAAAACAAAAAACCCAAACCTTGTGAAATTCTGTTCTGTCAGGTAACAAAAATAATTGTCACAGAGGAAGGCCATGTTTTATCATGCTAACTGACATTCCTATCAAAACATCAGCCACATTGTTGGTCTATTACCTCATCTGCAACAGGGCTTGTAAATACTGAGCCTTTGTACATCACCACTTTCTTGCCACAATGACTATCAGCCCACAAAACCAGACACCTTTTAAAAGTGATTGAAGTGCCTCCTCCTTGGACGTGTAAAGAGCACTACTGAAGAGCGGGAGTGAGACCAGATAACATAGTATATGCAATAATCTATTTCTGAACTAAGTTTCAAAACAGAACCTTTACCATGTAATGTATTAATCTTTCCATATAAACTGTTACTTCCTGTGTCCTGAGCTCATACATGAAGGAATAATTATTATTTTTACATTTGAGGTTTTCTGTCCTGCAAGGCACCTTTTCCTAAAGACTACATGCAGGCACCAACCCGATTTTATGCAAGAAGATTTGAAACAGCCTTTCACCTTCAGGCAAAGTCTTTCTGTCCTGAAGGGCTCTGAAGAGAAACTGAACGTTATTAAAACAGTGGTTTTATTAGCCGATAAGTTTCAGTTGTTTATGTTCATTCCCATGTTAGCAGCTTTCTAAGCCTTGTCAGGAGACATCTGATTTCATGATGAACAATTTGCTGTCAGGATCTGGAAAATTACTTGACTGCCTACCGCACTTTACACAATTTACTTCCTCCTTTAACACTTTGTGGCCAACCTCTTGTACAGCAGTATCATCTATTAAAAAGTTAAGGGAAGCTATGGTTCGATTCGTGCATTTTTTTCTTACACATATATTCTACAAATTGTTCTTTTTAAGATAAAGGTTTGCATAATTAAATAGCTCCCCACCCCCCGCCACTGGAAGCTGCTTGTGCCATGGTACTGGACGCAGCAGTGGCCCGCCGACGGC